GCAGGACATAGAGTTATTCCTAATTTATATTGCTATGTAGTGCTCTTAAAATAATCCAAAAAAAAAAAAAAAAATCACACCTTCAGAATCCTCTACAAGCATCAATGCCTGGCAAGATCTGCCGCACTAATTCTTTCGCTGACTAATCAGAGGGGGTAAAAGAGATGGAAACCAACTTTGCTTCCCCTAGTTACCTCCCACAGCTCTTCAATAATTCTCCAATCTGACTAAGTCCAAGGTTTCCTGGAGTCAGATTTCCTATCTGGGCAAGTTCTCAGCAGTTGCCTTAGCCAAAACACTTTAAAGCATCTATGCCTGCACTGCTCTAAAAGCTCTTCATAATCAGCTCTCTCTCCTAGTGACTAGAAGCAAGTTTGTTGTTTGATGCTTCCTTTTCCCTTTTATAAAAGATTCTCTGTCCTGAACAACAATATCAGACCAGTCTACCCTGCCTCCAGCTGGCTCTTATGCAATTGTATCTCTTTCCAATGACTGCTAACATTTTATTGGTGCCAGTACTTGAGGAATATTTTTCTCTAATGTTAGAGAGCATAACTAAGATTTCAGTCAGGCTCCCAACTTGGAACCATAACACATGATCTAGCAAATGATGCTCCTGTGTTCACTTCCTTCCACTCCAGACAGCAGCTCTGCATTCCTTAGGTTCACAATTTATATTATAATAACCAATATCTACAAATCTATATAGATGCAACTGTACACACACACACACACACACTCATAGGAAAGTAGACTGGAGGGGACCTCACAAGATCATCTAGTCCAACATTTCTCAACCATTTAAGTAGCAAGTATGCCCTAACTTCTGAAAATTTTAATAAGTACTCCAACACTCAAATTTCCAGGGGTTTTTATATTTACAGACTAATGTGTGCCATATGTTGGAAGGGCTGTGTATATAAGGCCGTGATATGACAAATATCTGATTTGGTGTGGATAGGGTTGCCATCTTTTACACCAGGGGTGCACAACTCAAGTATGTACCTGGGCTAGAGGTGATGTAGGCCAAAGCTAGGAGGGCTGAACCCAGTGCATGCCAAATTATTTCTGGGGAATGCAAAGTGCAGTGCAATATGTGGCGCACCAAATTTTTTGCTATAGTTTTGAGAGGAAGAGGGCGAGAGGGGGAGAAGGAGAGGGAGAGAGAGAGTGTTGGGGTACCTGCGTACCCTCTGCCCATGTCTCGTGTACCCCTTGGGGGTACACATACCACAGGTTGAGAAATTATGATCTAGTCCAGCCCCCTGCTTAAGGCAGGTTCATACCTGACTGTACCATCCCAGCTACCTATCTGTCCAACCTGCTCTTGAAAATTTTGAATGGAGATTCCACAGGTTCTCTAGTAACCTGTTCCAATACTTGACCATCCTCATAGTCATAAAGTTCCTCCAGATCTTCAACCTAAATTTCCTCTGCTGCAGTTTGAGACCATTACTCCTAGTCCTCTCTCTACAGCCACACTCTACATAATCTCCTGTTACATATCTGAAATTGTATCATCAAATAATAGAAAATTAGGGTTGAAAGGGACCTCCGAAGGTCATCTAGTCCACAAAACCATCCCTAACAAATCATCCCAGCCAAGGCTTTGTCTAATCAGGTCTTAAAAACCTCCAGGGATGGAGATTCCACAACCACTCTGGGTAACCTGTTCCAGTGATCTTACTACTCTCCTTGTGAGAAAGGTTTTCCTAATATCTAACCTAAAATTCCCTCACTGCAACTTGGAACCGTACTCCTTGTTCTGCACTCCAGATGTGGCCTCACCAGTGCTGAATAGAGGGGAATAAACACTTCCCTTGATCTGCTGGCAACACCCCACCAATGCCGCCCAGTATGCTGTTAGCCTTCCTGGCTTTTGGTCCAATCCTCCAATTTGTCTAGGTCTTTCTGAATCCTAACCCTACTCTCCCCAGTGTATCTACTACTCCCTCCAGCATGGTGTCATCTGCAAACTTGCTGAGGGTGCAGTCTATGCCACCTTCCAGGTCATAAATGAAGATATGAACAAAACAAGTCCCAGGACCAACCCCTGGGGCACTCCACTTGATACTGGCTGCTAACTAGATATCGAGCCATTGACTACTACCCTCTGATCTAGTCAGTTTTCTCTTCATTTACCACCCCATTTATCCAACCCGTACTTCCTTAACTTGCCTTTTAGAATGTAGTCAAATTCTCCCACCTAAAAGTGGAGTTACAGGCTACCTTTAAATCATGGTAAAAAGGTAATTAAAAGAAAACCATTCATCCATTAAAGAGTGTTAACCTGTGCTAATTACCCTCTAAACATTTTGAAGTTATTCAAATGAGGGTTATCTTTGATTCATTTTACCCAGGTCATTCCAGGGTATTGTTAGTTTGCTCTGGGGAAATAAAAAGCTCCATTTTCATTGCTCCAGCATCTCAGGATGCGGCATTCCCACTCCTTTGCTCCATGGGCAAACTTTCGACCTTCCTAAACTCTACTGCCCCAGAGTGTGGTGCTGGCCCAAAGCCAGTACTCCCTCCTGCTCCAGAGGGGAGGACCCCAGCAAACTCTGATGACTCTGAGCACCCACATGCAGCTCACCAGTTTGCTGCCTGCTCTACCACCCCTTTGCAAACAGCAATAGTAATCCTACTACTTACCTGCATGAAGAGAATGAGCCAGAGAACAGAATCCACCAGGCTGGCTGCAAAGTGGACCCATGCTGAAGTATGTGCATTTAGTGAGCATGTTGGGTATCAGCTCTGCTCTGTTTTGAGTGCTAACCTAGCTTCCGCCCCAACACAGTTTCAATTCAATGAAACACATACAAGAGTTTGATCCTTTTACATATACATAAACATAGTCAGCCAGCTAGAACTGTGGGTGGGAGGGGAAAAGCTTTGGTGAAAATAAATGTTTTAAGTGAATGGATAGGGGACAGAAGTAAAGCAAAAGGAGTGAAAAAAGGTAATTATATATAGAGATATATAGCCAGATATAATGTATATTATATCTATCTATATAATAATATAGATATGTATGTATGTGCAATATACATTTCTTTTTTCCAAACTTCTTTCTCTCTATTTCTCTTTCTACCTGTTCACTTCAAACAGTTTTTATTTCAAAGACTCTTCTTCTCCCACTGGCTCCAGCTAGCTGCAGACTGAGGGAAATCAAGGCCCTCAGGATGGTTTATCTGCCTGCCACTCTCTTTCATCCTCTCCCACTCCAGAGGGGGATAAAGTCCTGGCTCCTGACAACACCCATGCTTGCTAGGCCCTTAGTGGCAAGTCACAGTTGTGCAGATCTGAGATGGCATTACACTTTAACCCAGGCGTGGGCAATTATTTTGGGCGGAGGGCCGCTTACCCAGTTTTGGCTGTTGAGGGCCACATGGGTAGCCCTGCCACTTGACAGGTGCTCCGCCCCCTGGTTCACCACCAGTGTCCCCATGTCTTGGGACCAATGTCCCAGGGCCAGCACCAGTGGGGCCCAAAGCATGGCACAGGCTGGCAGGGCTCTGTGGAGCTGGGCTGGGCTGCACCAGAAGGGAGAGGGGGGAGCTGGCCCAGCTCCGGGCTCGCCTGTCTGCGGCCCCACCACTTGCCATGCTGGGCAGTGTTGGATGCTGCTGCTCACCCAGAGCTCACGCGTTAGGCAGCCCACAGGCAGCGGTGACAAACACTGCCTGGTACAGCAAGTGGGGGGGCCGCAGCTGTCATCGCCACACGCAGCCCCGATGAGCGAGCCCAGAACCAGCGCGGAGCCCAGGCTGGCAGTGGGGCCAGGTTACAAGGTGGCGCTGGGCGCAGAGGGGGAAAAGCGGCCTCTCACCTGCCCCATGCCCAGCACCCCATGCTGCAGCCACTTGCAGCCCATGTGGGGCTGCTTGTGCCTGCTCAGGACAGTCCCACGTGGTCCCTGCTGCAGCCGCTCGCAGCCCACTGGCAAAAGGGTGGGGGAAGGGCCGCTTTCCTCTGCGCTGGGAAGCAGCCCAGGGAAAAAGCTGAGCGTGGGGATGGGAAAAGTGGCCCCATGCCTGTGCCTGCTCTGTGGCTGGCGCTCCCTGCTGCAGCCGCTCACAGCCTATGTGGGGCTGTCTGGAGCAGGCACAGGCAACCCCAGGCAGGCTGCAAGCGGCTGCAGCGCAGGGAGCTAGCCACAGTGTGGGCGAAGGACTGCTTTTCCCCACTGCCTGCACTCAGCTTTTCCCCAGGCCACTTTTTCCTGGGTCCCTTCTGCTCTTCCCCCTTACCTGAGGTTCTGGCACTGGGCAGCCATGTTGTAAATGTAACCTGTATCAACACCCTAAATAACCTAGTTCTTTCAGCTTTTCCTCATAAGTCATGCTTCCCAAGCTTCTAATCTTTTTTGCCACTCTCCACTGAACTCTTTCCAATCTGTCAAAATCTTTCTTGAAACGTAAGGTGCAAAACTGAACACATTACTCCAGTTCAGGCCTCACTAGTGCCAAATAGTAGAAGAATGACAGGTAACCCTGTATTATACTGTAATACAACAAGCCCCACCATCAGCTTTCTTTACTGCGAGAGCACACCATCGGCTCATAGTCAGTTTATGGTCCACCAAAAGCCCTAACTCACTCTCTGCAGTACCGCAACCTAGTCAATCATTCTCCAGTCTGTATTTATGCATGCAATTATTCCATCCCGTGCTTAGTATTTTCTTAACACAGTGAAACCTTGCCCCCTTCATATTTCCTTTAATACTTCCTCCAGCTACCAAAAAGGGGAAGAAAAGAAAGGCAGACAGCAGAACTTTTACATTTCTTTTGATTTACCACTTACCAAATGTACTTGGTTATTGAATCTTAAACCTTGTTTTAGTTCAGAATTACTTGGTCATGCTGTTAAATACATTTGATTACAAAAAAGACATAACATCAGAGCAACTAATCTATGAGAGGGCTTTTTCTTTTTTCTTGCACTATTTCACTTTCATCCCTACTAAAAGTCTGTGCAGCTCTCCAGATCTTTCATCTTACCAGGTGGTTCTGCTTGAGCTCCTTGATGACTCTCCATGTTAACATTCTCTTGATCGCCTGCGATACAAAACACAAATATGGTAAGGCATTTGTATTTCCTCCATTTCCCCCAAGATTGGATCAGAGCACAGACACAAAAGCTAATCCGAGAGAAGCTAGAGATGCTTTGGTTCAAATCAGCTAAGAGATGGCTTGACCAGTAAGACAACTTCACTCTCCTTATATTGCCTAGGTATCAAAGTGACAGGACTCTAGCAAATTTTCTCTTGAATACTAGTTGTCAAGAGTTCAAGGTATGCATGACCAAGTGACAGCACTTCTGCCCTTACAAATAGTTTTTAACATTTTGTACTACATGATTTTTCTTCTTGTGCCTGGACCTTGCTATCCTTTGTTTAAGAGGAGAGGGCAAGCAGGAACTAGGAAATAGCAGGAGGAAGACAAACACTTCAATGGCCACGTATGTTATTAACACAGTAGAGTATCATGGCCTTGGTAAATGACGCGATAATGCCATAGCAGAGATTTCCCAGAAAGAGCTGCAAGACAGCTTCCTTTACATAACAGATTGATGCTCACCCTCTATCCCTTCAAATGTACCATTTTCAAGTGTTTGAACTGTCTTACAGTGACTCTTTGGGCAGAGAAATTTTTTTAGAAACATTTGGAAAAGCACAGTTTATGACTTTAAAACATTTTTTCTGACTTTAAACCCTTTCTCTTTCCTTCAAGGGTCTACTTTTGGGCAACAAACTCTTGGATAGATAAATCTTAGCGTAGCATAACTTATATTCCCAGTGCATTGGGCCATTAAAACTAGCCACTGTATTCAATTCATTTCTACACTCCTGTCTGAAAGCTACAACAAATTCACAGGAAACAACACTTACCACTTGATTTGAAACAGAGTTTCTTCTTTTGGTATGCAATGAAACTAGAAACTGCTCCAACTATCGCCACAACCGCAGCACTTATGATTCCTGGTATTACTCCTTGAGAAGCTGTGAACATTTTTTCAGTTTAAAAACAGAACTTCCATATTCTCAAAGAGCATAAAACCTTTGAATGTTTTCAAGCATTTCAAACATGTAAATATGAAATTAATGGAGCAATCAAGGGCCCTGTTTTCACAGATTTTGCAAAACTCAAAATATAAATTTGACAACTGATTTTTTCACCAGTCTCCACAGGTGTTAAAGAACATGGGCACATGCTTTTGTGGCAACTGGTATAATATGAACTAAATTCATAGGGCAAAAAGTAATCAATAAAAATAAATCTCATGACATGAATACTGGTTTCAACAGCTTATCATCAGGGATCCTAGAAATGTTTGCCATGGAAAAAGTGGAATTTGTGTTTTTACAGAGAATCTTCGTAACTGCCAGAAAAGAAAAACAAAACAAACAAAAAAACCCAAAAAAACAAAAGCCTTACTGAAAATATAATGTTGGCTCCCCAGTGGGAGCCAGTGGTTTTCATGCTGCTGCAGCAGCAGCCAGCCTGGGGGAAAAAGTCACCAGCACAAAGGAAAGTAGCTAAGATGGTGGCCACCCTCTCCTCCTTGTCACTGGTTGGCAGAGAGAGCTGCCTGTCATGTGGCCCCATCCCTCTCTGCCAATCAGAGATGAAAGGCAGGGCCAATGCAGGGACATCGCAGCTAATCAGTGTTGGGGGAGAGGGTTCACTGTAGAAAAACATGTTTTATCACAGAATTCTGTTTTTTTTAAATCAGGGAAAGGTAGGCTCTCTACTTATCATTCACCTGCTAAGTGAAACAGTTGCAAGGGCAAACCCTGAAATAAAAATGCTAAATGTTGAAAGCACTGTCAGAATTTACTAGGACAACATTACAAATTAATATGGCAGACAGAAAATGAGTACCTTATTTGGAAAAATGTTTAAAAAGTAAACTTCTGACACCTAAAGACATTAAAAGATGATGCACAGATGCAGTCTATATGAAAATCTGTG